GGGCAAATTGCGAGATGAATCGTGCAGTCGGGCTCAGCTAAGCATCGATAATGATCTATATATATCTCTATCGGTGAACACATATGTGGAGTTAGATGATGCCGGTGTCGTGGATGTTTGTCAACCATTAGGAACAGCTCCGGCCACGTACACCAGTGTCGATCGATCGACGAGCTGAATGTGGATTGTGCTTCAGAAGTTCAGATGGAAATGGTACTTTTTAGAACTTGGATGGAAAGTCTCAAAATGGATGGGTTTCTCCTTTTGACATAACGCATTTGCTAAGTGAACATCAGCTGGAGACTGGTAAATAAATTTGGCCATCCATCACTCCGGTCGGTTTGTGACTTGTGCTTCAATTTAATGTATCTTTTATCGCGATGCTGAGATTTTCTCTTCAGCAACCTGTTGTTCATCGTTGTAACCAAATATCTCTTCAATATTAATAAATTTTGGTCGGCTTCTCTTCGCTGGCCTGGCGGAAAAAAAGAAATGGGCCATCCGAGTTATAATGGTTCAGATCAAAACATGTGATACTGGAAGATCGATTTTAATCTCTCGTAGGAATGTCTGGTTATATTTTTTCTCTTAAATGCAATTAAATGAATATAAAAATATTAAAAGCATAATACATACTACATTGACATCTATTACTCCAGCAAAATTCAACTCAAACCAATCTACACATTAAGAAAAGAATAGACAAATCCAACTGTAAATAGTACTCTACATGCACTTTTAATCTGTTGGATTTGTCTTTTTCTATGAACTTTAAATTTATTTTTTTAACGAACAACGTCAAACGATGTAATGTTTCAAATTGATAGATCGTGAAAATTTACAAGATTCACACCCTGGGAAACATAAATTAGGAAAAGAAAAAAAAACAACAACGTGTTCCAACAACTCGTCACTCCTAGGAAAAGGAACATGCACCAATCTAGTCGCTGCTATGCGTGTCTAGACGCCGCCAGCCCAATAAACGGGACACAAACATATTGCTTAGCACCAACTCCAAACAACTTATCAACCACGGACTCTCAGCCATCGCAACATAGAAAGATTTGGCAAGGGAGGGGGCGAGAAGGGAAGAAGATCCACTCCTCCCTCAAACAAACCCGATGGCAACATCTAAGAGCGTCGCTGAAAACCGAACTGCTCGAAGGTGGGACAAGCAAGAAGGGAGAGATGCTCCTGTGCAATGTACTTGAAGTATTTTACTCCGAGTAGAATTAATCTGGACCGTTTATTTTAAAGGGCAGGTAAGTAATCTCCTAGTATCCTGACGAGAGTGGTGGCCGTGACGTTTTGCGTGACGTTGGCGTCGCGCCACGGCTCGACGGCCATGGCGGCGTTCCAAATCTGCGCCCAGGTCTGGCTCGCCACGTCGCTCCTCGCCGACGACCTCACCATCGCCGGCCAGGTGAGCTAGCTACCTACCTAGCTAGCTTAGCCTACATTCCGATGATATATGCATGGCTGCTTAATTAACTTTGCTTAAATTGATCAATCAACCTCAGGCCTTGTTTGCCAGCGTGTTTGCAAAGAAGGATCACTACAAGATGGCGGTGACCACCGCCCGCGTGCTGCAGCTCGCCGTCGTCCTCGGCGTTGGGCTGACGGCCTTCCTCGCCACCGGCATGTGGTTCGGCAGCGGCGTTTTCACCAGCGACACCGCCGTCATCAGCACCATTCACAAAGGCGTTCCGGTACGATGGTCATCATAAGCAAGAACAGATTAATCTTCAGAGATTAGTAAATATTTTTCTCATGAACATATCTGACGATTGTCTCCAAATCGATCAGTTTGTCGCTGGCATGCAGACGATAAACACGCTGGCCTTCGTCTTCGACGGCGAATGGAGGGGAATGGCGTCGATTAGGATAGGATAGGAAGAGGGTGAACAGTTAGATAATAACAGATTACGATAATACCCCCTATGCGAATTATTATCTCTGGACAAATATAGCCCTCCATATTTCTACTCCAATAAAATTTGGTGGGAGTAGAACTAGATCTCAACCCTACGATTAAATACGATCAACGGTACGGATTAATTTCTACTCCAAGTAGAAAGCACCGGAGCGAGACTCAGAAGGGCAGGGTCTCCTAGATAGCGCCTCAAGGGAGGTCACGGCGCTAGAAGCGCCGCTGCTGCCCGTCCAAACTTGGACGTGGTTTTCACCCGGATGGTCCCGCTATAAGTAGAGGAAGGCCTCTAAAAAAGTTTCTCAGGAGGGATTGCAACGCCCAACAAGATTTCGCCGTTGTCGGTCCGGATAGGGAAGCAAGGCAAGGCTTTCACCTGTAGGCTACCTTAACCTTCCGTCATAGCCCTGATGTCCCGCCACCAACTAAACTCCACTAGCACTCCCTCTCTGCCAAACTGCTCTCCTTCACTGGTCGGACCCTAAATGCACCAGGGGAACCACTGCACCGATGGTGCCATCTTTTGCTTACCGGCCCCTGCTCCTAACTCTAGGCTGACACTGCAGCCACCCTCTCCGCACACGCAGAGCAACGAGCACCACCACCACCCGTGTTGCTTGTTCGGCATGTCGCCACCCTGCCACAAGCCCCTGCTCGCCACATACACCCTTCCCTTGGAATGGATGCAGCCGCTCTCGGCAACCATGTCTCAATGCCTTCCACAGTTGGTCCCGGCGCGAGCCGTCACCACGACCGGTCCATGGCCGCTGCAGCCTAGGAGGCTTCAGATCCAGACGAGAGGACACCATATCTAATGATGTTGGCCCTCTACCCCACCGCCATTCCATCACACGCTACTTTCGTGTCCGGTGTCCCCCAACCCCGCCACCAGCCACTTCACCAGCATGCTGCCTCCACATCCCCCAACCTTGCCACTTGCAACTCCACCACGCGCTACCTCCTCCGCCCCTAGCCCTGCTGCCTCCTTCAACGGTATCCTCACCAAGTACCGGTCAAGGAGAGACCGGATCTGGGTGGTGCTAACTCCCGAGCCGACTTAGTACCCCAGCCTAGTGTCCTTGCGGAGGAAGAGAGCGCCCCATCGCCATCATCATCGCGGATGTCCAGCTTTGCTGATGAGCTGCTCGGGCAGCAGCGACGTGAGGGAGAGGAGAGAGGGGAGCAGCGGCAGCTGGCTTTTTGTCGTCAGGGTCGCCCCTGGGGTGGGGGCGATGCGGACTAGATAGTGTAAATTTGAATTTAGTAGGATGTTAGACACATGACATATGAATGTTGTTAAACATTTTGGAAATTTTTACGACTACAAGAATATAGGTATTAGTAAATTAAGACCGCCCGTAAAATATAGCACGTGAAAGTAAATATTTGAAGCGACGAGAGGAGAATCCCAACAAGAGAACAAAACGAGTTTCCCGTGGTACACTAGCCCAAAAGCCTCAAAACCCGCCCACTCCCGTTTTCTTCCGCTCGCGGAACGCAACGGTTCACGCGCGGCTCGGTCGCGAGCCAGCGCGCGCAGCCGCGGGGCGACGGGGTCAACCAATTCAGCATGCAGCCACTGCCGCCACGACACGACACGGGAGCCCAGCCGAGCCTAGCCAAAGCGTCACGTACGGTACCCGCGCCGGCTACGTGCAACTCCTCCACCCGGCTGGGAAAGTGTTCTCCTTGCGCGATCGTGGATAGGGATGAAAACGGTCGGAAACGATCGGAAAACAGCCTCAACCATTTCCGTAACCATATTTTTCTCGGAAACGAAATTGGAAACGGTAAAGTCGGAAACAAAAACGATATCGGAAATATCGGAAAACCAGAAACGGAACAATACGGACGGAAACATGTCGGTACAGATCGGAAACCGGTAACAAATACGGAAACATTAAACTATAAAAACATATATTTAACTTTACATAAGTATGTTATATATATATACATAAATTCAAGCTTATACTATATAAATTATAAATTAACTTCATTTTAGCCATGTACAAAAGTTAGAGATTTTATTGAAGAGTCATTCAATCTATAAGCTGTGGGTTAAGTATAGACATGTCCTATAATATCGACATATTTAGAATACGGTAATTACCATATTATAAGAAACGGTAATTTCCGCGAGAATACGGTAAATACGGAAACGATCGGTATAACAGCAAAACCATTTCCGTTTTCATTTCCATATTTTTTACCATTTCCATTTTTGTTTCGGTCGATTACCATTTCCATATGGCTCGGCCGGTAGAAAGTCGAAAACGAACGCCGGTCGGCCGGTTATTACCGTTACCGTTTTCACCCCTAATCGTGGAGACCACATAATCGGTTCATCCCCAACAAAAAAAAAAACAAAGGGAAAAATAAAAATAAACAAACGACGAAGGACACTACTGTTTGCGAAAATGAGTGAGTACAGTAGCAGCTGACGAACGACGATTGCTATCGGTGAACAACTACTAGTCCGTAGCATGCAGTTGACAAGAGGCGAGACACGCGGTCGCTGAGGCTGCACCGGTTACTGTCGCGCGGCACGCCATCGGTCGAGCTCGAGCACCTGCATCAGATTCGAAGGAAAACGTGGTAGACTTTGCATTTGGATCCAGCGGAGAGGATACGGATACCCCCAACGAATATTTATTATTTTTTTAACTTCTTTAACTTTTTTATTTTAGAAATAAACCATTCTTAAAAAATTATTTCCTAAATCTGAACATTTTAATCACGTCAATCCGTCTTACGTGACAAAATAACACGATCACGTCACCCGCAGTTGACATGACAGTTGTCATCTGGCAGACCGGCATGATCAAATAACGTTGTCATGTTATTCAAGCCGGCGTGACAGTATCGTTTTGCCTGACCAAAAGATTCAGATCTTGAAAATAAATACGTTTTAAGGTATATTTTAAAATTAAAAAGTTCAAAAAAGGAAAAATCACCCCCAGCCCAACCATCCGTGCCATGCAGAAGCCGCCTCCCGCGCCCGCTCGGCTAAAGATGCGCGCCGCGGCGGCGGAGAAAACGGCTATAAATACGCGACCCCTCCGCTTGCCACACTCTCTCCTCAGAAGCAGCAGCGAGCTCGCGAACGCGCCACTGCTTAGCTTACTCCCGCCTCACTATCTGTCTTGGCGCGTCGTGTACACGATCGAGCACCAGACAATGGCGGTGGCGCAGCAGCAGCAGCAGCAGCAGAGGCAGGCCACCGGTGAGTCGCTGATGCAGAAGTGCAAGCCGTACGTGGCGATGGTCTCGCTGCAGTTCGGGTACGCCGGCATGAACGTGATCACCAAGGTGTCCCTCAACCACGGCATGAGCCACTACGTGCTCGTCGTGTACCGACACGCCTTCGCCACCCTCTCCATCGCGCCCTTCGCGCTCGTCCTCGAGCGCAAGGTCCGCCCTCGCATGTCCTTCTGGGTCTTCCTCCAGATCTTCGTCCTCGCCCTCCTCGGGTACGTACGCATACAAAAATTGGAGATATATGCTCTGATTTTTTAGCACAGTATTTGCTCTATTCTCACGCACTGACCGGCCAATGTGTATGTATGTCCACGTGTAGGCCGGTGATCGATCAGAATTTCTACTACGCCGGGCTCAAGTTCACCTCGCCGACCTTCTCCTGCGCCATGAGCAACATGCTCCCGGCCATGACCTTCGTCATGGCCGTCATCTTCAGGATGGAGAAGGTGAACCTGAAGAAGGCGAGGTGCGTGGCGAAGGTGGTGGGCACGCTCGTGACGGTGGCCGGCGCCATGCTCATGACGCTCTACAAGGGGCGCGCCGTCGAGATGGTCTGGACCAAGCACATGCACCTCCACGGCCCGCACCAGGACGCCGTCGCCGCCGCCGCCGCCGACAAGGACTGGCTCAGGGGCTCCATCTTCCTCATCATCGCCACCCTCGCCTGGGCCTCCCTCTTCATCCTCCAGGTCAATATACAGATGCCGCCATGAATCCATGCAACGCTTTAGCTCGTGATTAGTTGCTCGCTCCAAGAACGTTGGAGCTCAAGGTGTTCGGTCGAATCTGCTCTGTTCTTGCAGGCCGCGACGCTGAAGAGGTACGACGCGCCACTGTCCCTGACCACGCTCATCTGCTTCGTGGGCACCCTGCAAGCCATCGTCGTCACCTTCGCCATGGAGCACAGCATGTCCGTGTGGAAGATCGGCTTCGACATGAACCTCCTCGCCGCCGCCTACGCCGTCAGTCTCGAAAACCATCTTACCCATCCTCTGCCTCATCGATCGGGGGGGATCAAACATGGCGTGACACTGACCAAGAACCGATCTGTACGTGCAGGGTATCGTGACATCGAGCATTGCCTACTACGTGCAAGGGCTGGTGATGCAGAGCAGGGGGCCCGTGTTCGCCTCGGCGTTCAGCCCGCTCATGATGATCATCGTCGCCATCATGGGGTCGTTCATCCTCGCTGAGAACATCTACCTCGGAGGGTACGTAGCCATCGATCGACCAATCACCATGTCGACTGGCAGAGCTCAAGCTCGATCGGATGTTCACGTTCTTGCTGTTTCGTTCTTGGTTTTGCAGGATCATTGGGTCGGTGCTGATCGTCGCCGGCCTGTACTCGGTGCTCTGGGGGAAGCACAAGGAGAACGCTGAGAAGAAGGAGGCCGAGGCGATGGAGATCCCGGTGGCGATCAAGGGCGTCGACGGCAACGGCAGGGTCATGGACATCGTGGAGCTGGACGAGGTGCAGCTGGAGAAGGCCCAGGTGAACGGCAAGGCGGCGGCGGCGGCGGCGCACGAGCACGCCGCGGTGGTCGCCGTCACGGTCCCCGCCGAGGAAGCCCGGATGCAGGGCAAGGACGAGGCCTAGGCTAGACAGATAGGTCCACTGATCGGTGAACCATTGCGTCATTTCACCATCTTTTCTTGCCTCTGTTCTTCCCTGAGATGTTGTAGTGGCACATAATGATGTAAGCAATGGTGGTAATTAAGTAGTAGTAAATTAGTAATTAGTAAAGCTAATGTGGTGTGGAAGATGAGGAGGATGCAATCATGCAATCGACGAGGGAGAGTTTTGTAACCTCTCTCGATCTGGTTATTCACAGATGATTTCAGGTTGGGATTGTTATCTCATCTAAGGCAATGTATCCCTTCACTCAATGATGACATGTGTGAACCACTAGACCTCAGATTCCAAACCTATGTCAAGCAAGTGTTTGGTCATGTCATGTTATCCCTGTTTCTGGTAGCTGTTTTTCCTGTTTCATGCAACAGTAACTGCTAGCTAGTGCACAAAGAAATTAATCATATAGTCTTTAAGCTCCCATGATTGGGTGTAGGCAGGAAGCTCTCCTGAAACTCTGCAAAAGAAAAGAACTTAGTACATCTAAAAGCAAAACTTTTCAGTTTTATGTATGTAATTAAACAGTGATCCCGATTTCAATATGCGTTTTCGCTACGTATCAAGGTGATGCGGTCGGTTAGCGCAGAATATTGGTTCCGTTCCATGTTGAGAAAAAGAAGTAAAACGCATCCACTGCATGTGAATATGCTATTGGTGTGCTAGGCAACACCAACGATGCATACTGATTCCAAGAACCCTGTCTTAATTGGCAAGGATAGCATCCAAGAATCTCAGCATTAAGCAGTGATATGGGAGCTGGAGGAATAATTGCCTAAAAGCTGATCCTACTTAGCATGCACTAGCCAAGATTCAGTGTCAGCTCTAAACCAACATGCATCTCGCTCTTAACTGATATATTTAAAAATTCCAATCTGTGGCCCCCATAAGCCATGGCCAGCAACACCAGTGCAGTGGACAAGTTGGATCCATTAGGGACACTAGTGCCAGGAACAAGAACAATACCTGAATTTGATGCCCATGTGCCTCCCCTTCCAAAAAGAAAAATCTCATTCTCATGTCTTTTCTCATTCTAAATCCTGGGAAGGGATCCCGATCGATACGCGAATTCGATAAGCTCTCTACTAGGTTCCCTCTCTGGCTTTCAGTTGCTTCAGGGAATATCAGATCAAGTTGCAAGATGTATGCAACTGCATGAGGCACACATGACAAGCAGTAGTCACTTGTTCAGGAAGCTAATGGGCTCTGCATCACTCGCTACATGAAAACCGATACACGTTTCGGGTTTCAATTATGCAAGGCGATGCGCATCACGCTCACGCCCTTGGTTCTTATCATGACGCAGCACAGCAGCTTATCTGTCAATCACGTTTCAGATCAGGAGTAATTTTATAGTCCTTAAGGAGGTTTCATGAGGTAAAAAAATTTAGTGTAAAAATTGGTACTATGAGTACCAAATTTACAATAGAAAAAGTGGTACATCATAGTATCTACTCAAAAACTGTAAAATTACTCTTCAGATTAATGTTTACCTGAAGAAGAACAGTACAAGACAGGTCTTAATGTAACCATGCAACAAGCCATGAAAGCAGATTTAACAGATGGAACAGAAAAGAAAGGAACGGCAGATGCTGAGCTTTTAATCAAACAGGTGACTAGTTCGTTAGTTATCTTAAGATAAAATCCATGCTGCAACTCTACCTGTCTCGGCAGATAGTCCTTTCTTTCATTGTTTTTAGATAATGAAATTTATTTCGACCTTGGCAGAAGCTATAGCCAATTATTAACTTATTAACTTATTAAGCATGCTTACTTCTGTTGGTTTAGGAGTAGATGGTTTACTGAATCCAGCACTCATCCTCTAATCAGGTAGGGGGGGAAAATAAAGTGATTCCACTGAACATCTATCAACATCTTATGAATAACAGAAAAGCTATGTCTGTGTAGAGAAGCGATGCACACATAAAGCAAACCACACTCACAACATTAGTGTGCCCACACTCAGCCTACATTCTCTTAATTGTTCCATTTACTTCAGAACCCATGCTCAAGGGATTAGCACAAAGTTCGGAAAGAATTCCAGCCACATTAGCACAAAGCAGGAACAGAAATGCTAGTAATAAGTGACTTACGCTAGGTCTTAATCATGCACAATACATGATACGGCATGGGCATAAGTATGATATGTCACTCATGCAGCCGGCAATATGCATATAGGCCAAGCCATGTTGCTACCTCAAATTGCGCATATATGATTCCTGTAAATCCAAATGGCTTCAATTTACAATATCTCCTATAGTTTTTTAACTTTTTTCTTTGCGATTTTCTTAATTTAAGCACGTTTATAAACAGGACATTGCATCATGATTGCTCTAAACAGTAAATTAAGCTTGTGCACTATAACGTAGTACTAGTATAAGATATTTTAAGTTGCAGCACTGCTTCAGAAGTGCCGAGCTTTTGATTCCATCTGTTGTTGTGTATCAACAAAAGCAGATAAAACAACAGTTTCTGAGACGACCAAGCAAGTATTCAACTAAGGATACAAATAAATTATCGTAATGGGAGCTTTGATACTTTAACTTATGAAAACAAAAGTGTTGAATAATCTCACATTAGTTGTGGAAGGTCAAATGTCCAGATATAAAGTGGGGGAGCGCCTCACCTCAATGGCTAGCTTTTGGTGTGAGAAAGACCCTTTACGATCCTACAATTAGTATCAGAGTCTGGCTACACGGTGAAGGGGTGGTGAAGGGCTGAGGGACACAAATGTGTGAAGGGGTTTTGGAGATGATTGGATTTTATAAAAAGAAACATGCAACCTTTAACTAACTCCTGTCTTTTACCTCGCAAAGGAGCATTCTCAGTTTCTCACCCTCATCATTTAGCTCGGTGAAAATGATTAGGAAAGTTTATGATCACTGCCTTTGGGATTACTTTAACTTGCAAAGTAGTTTCTGGGTAATATTATTCAAACTATTAACATCACTGTTGTCTTTAAAAAAGATGGTACAATAGTTCAGTTGTGTCGTTTTGCAAGTGAAGTATTCTTCAGTCCCAAAGTAGAGTTCCCCAGGTTGGTGCACATACTTTGCAATAACCTACACATAACTTGTGTGAACCAACTAGGATATCACGACTTACAGGCTTACAGCACGGCACAAATGAGAAACCCAGTCTGCATTGTAACTTGAGAACAATAACAAATGCTGAATACTACTGTAATCAAAGGTTGAATACAATAGCACCCATGATCGAACCAAATTCGACTAGATAAGCATTACTTTTGGAACAAATATAATCTTACCTTCTTATGTCACTGAATTATTTAACTAGAGATTCACCGTGACTTTACCTGTTGGATTAGCATCAAGAGAGCAAGGGGACATGAAGCACCAAAATCAACTTTGAGGCCAATGGAATGACAGGAAAGGCACACTAACTTCTAGACGAGAATGAGATCGACTGCATTACACTAGTGGTACTGACTACTGAGCATGGGCAACTACTAATGGAGAAGGTTGTGTATCAGGGAACAGGCACATGACCCACAAATATGATGAGATTGTCCTGTAAATGAAATGGCAAACTTCAAAATCACTTTGTTTCATAAAGTTTGAATAGTCCTCAGATGTAAATAATGAAACAGAATTGTATCAGTTGCTGACTACTGTTATTGTTTACTAGTAATAACTGCTCATAAGTTGAATAATTATTTACAAGGAAATCTCCATTTTGATATATAATTGTTGAGAAACAAGTATAAGAACAAATTAGAAAACCATTTTGCAGATAACTGCAGTATCAACCGAAGAAACTATCGGGAGATGAAATTTACTTTAGGTGAGTCAAGTAAACTACATAAAGACAACTTTTTTTGGACTGAAAGACAACATAATTTAAATGGACACTGTCAAGTTAAAATCAGGAATCTTCCAGTACAGAATCATCCTATAGATGGGGTCATTTCACGTCAGAAAGGTTTTCGCATCAAAAGTTCAGATCACATAACGGACCAACTATTTAGCAAGATGCTAATCGAATAGATCAAGCAAAATGAAAAGGCAGAAGCCCGAGTAAAAGACTCCTACTTATAACTGGTGTTGACATTCTCACAGCCTCACAGGTTAGAATTGTCTGAGCAATCCTTGGGAAGGGCCACATAGTTTGCCGGTATAAAGGCTGTCTTGCCAGCCTCTTTCACTTTTCCAGAAGACAAGCCTCCCTTGCGTGCCATCGGGGTACAGACACGGCGGCTGGTAGGAGTTCCACTGATTATGTTGGCGTTCGAGCTCTGCCCAAGAGGCTTCCTAGCCGAAGGTGGACGCGCAGGGCTTGGCTTCGTTCCAAACGTAGCACCTTGTTCTGCTGCATACTGTTCTTGCAGTTTCTTGAGCTCCTGCAAAGAGTAGAAACATCCAAAAACATTAAGTCATGGAATTTGTACCAGGGAAGTTAACCTCTCCTTCCATGATAGTATCACTAAAAGTAGATCATGCATATGAAATAAAGGAGACATTCAGCTGGCAAAACTGCCAATAAGTGATAAAAAAACAAGACGCCTAAAGTATCTAGCGTGCCATGGCAGGACGTCCGCCCACCATGGACACTAGGGGTCACCCCCAACAGTTAGTGTCAGCGGTAGATCCGCCTGCCAAGCAAAAGCATAGTTATGGATATACTAGCAATATATGCTAAAGGAAACTACAAACTGAACACACTAACGAATGCAACCAAGATTGGGCACGACAGATGGCAGAGAAAACAAAAACCAACCCGCGATCGCCGTTTCTCCTCATCTTTCTGCTGTCTTCTTGAGGTGTATTCTTCTAAACTATCCAACAGCCTTATCTGTAAATGAAAGCCCAAATTGTAAATAAGCAAGATGAAATTGACAAAATTAATTAAAACAGTAGCATTGAGAAACGGGACTTGCCTTATCATACATAAATGGGACACCGTTCTCCTTTTCCCAAGCTTTAATTTTAGCAGTTAAATTCTCCAGCAGAGCTAAAGTATAAAATCACATGGAAGTTGAAAATTAGGTATATTCAGTGATAACTTGTTGATAAAAAAAACTTAAAACAAGAAAAAAGTGCCAGAAATAAAGTTCAGATGTTAGAACTAATGGTAGTTGTTAATGCAACTAGAAATTAGATCCTACACCAAATAGGGACCACTAAGAATATTTCAAGAAGCAATTTAGCATATGGATATAGACATATAGTTAAGGAATAAACGAAAAAGAGAAATGATCAATTGAATACTGATGTACTCATTAGCTACCCTTTATGTAAACCAAAATAGTGATGATAGGCCTTTTGAAGTATCTTTAATGATTGGAGTACATTAAAACATAAGATATCTGGTATCTCCAATAAACCAGTACAGCCACAAAAAAAAACAAGTATATAGGCTTACATGGAATTTTGCTAACCAGCATCCTTGCTTTTTCAGCGTGCTTGAGATTTTTGTGAGCTCCTCGACCAGCATTATAGCGATTCTGATCCTGAAATGAAAACTAAGAATTAGACCTGATATATGACAGATGAAGTTAGACTGAAGATATGTTGCAACTGTTTAAACTGAAGAGCATCCTGTCAAAAAGAGAAAATTTAAGGTACCTTTTCATATTCATCAAGCCAACTCTCCTCTTCAGATGCTAATGTCCATTTTTCAACCTTCTCTAGAATTTCCTTTCTGCTTAGAGCGTGCTCTCTTGCCTTTGTAATTCGACCATCCATTCCTGTAAGCAAATCTGAGAGATCTGCTTTACCTGACAAGGTGCAAATATCATCAAATTTGATGATTAGCAGTAAGAAACCATAAGGGGATACACTAAAGAGAAAATTATCAAAAGTGACTAATAAATTCCACAACAATTGGATAAATCCAGATGGAATTGAAGACTGAATCAACATAAAGGCTAAAAGTGAAGCAAACAACCTATATTGTAATTGCTAATCATAAATCTTATTAATAGTACACTAAATATTTGGAATAATGAAAATAATTAACTAATCATTCTTCTTTTTCATGAAGAAGGGAAGCAACTTGTGTATCCAGATGTAAAACGCACATTACAATAGCAGTACAAGGATAATTCAGTCTATCAAGGAAAAATATTATAATAGCATTCTAAGGATAAGTGCAAGTTATATGGGGCACAATTACATCACGTTCTAAACAGTATTTGGTGGGTTTATAATCAAATAACAAATGCACAAAAGTATTAAGAGATGATAACGACATGATAATGTTTGTGGATTAGGGTATGCTATAATAAGAAACCAGTGGTTTCAATTAAACAGGCCTTTCCTAGAAACCAAACAATACGTGTACATTTTGTTCTAGAAGGAACCTATTTCATTCTTATGCCAAGATTTGAGTTTGTCTACAAGTCAAATGAAAACATAGTTCGCTTCACTACCAGAACACAATGGAAAGGCGCAATATAAGAAGAGAACTGTATGATGACTTCAGTCATGAATTTCTCAGGTTGAAGGGAACAAGAGAGAAGTTTACCAGAATCAATAAGATCATTGAGAATTCTCCTCTCGTAATCACTGTCAATATCCATGTGAACACTTTTGTAGATCTCTTCAAGCTCAATCATTTTCTTTAATACAAGCTCTTTCATTTTGCTGGCTTTCAAACAATTCAGCCTCTTAACCTCAACCTCTACCTAAAATAAGGAGTGAAAGGATTTTACACAATAATTAAGTTAACTCAGAGACATTAGCTTCAATGACAATCCAAATAAAGCAAAAGAACATAAAATGGTCGATCAATTGTAACCTTCTCAATAAGTTCACGTGCAAGGCATCCTTGGGGCATTTTTGTGCTTGGTGAGACTGAAATCAAAGAAGTAACATGGTCAAAGCATTTCTGTTCAGCAGTTGGTGTGTCCATTAGGTTCCATAACTCAATAAGTGTGCTGCCAAGATCTTGCAACTGCAAAACAGAAAGCAAAGTTCAGCAGTGAGTATAGATATATGAGGAAAAAACATGGAGTGAAAATAAACGTCTGTAAATTCATGAAGTAATAACATGCAAATCACCAGCGAAGCACAGACGATGTGAAGAACAAGAGGGACCACATGAGGAATAAAAACTTGATGGAAAATAAAAATGCTGTAGTATAATGGTACGTAAAAATATTACATTAGTGTGACTCTGTTATGAATGGTAAAGTCAGGAAACCATTCTCTTGACAGTACACAATCTGAGTATCCGGAGATGGTGTACATGAAGTAAGAAAAATGAAAATATAAGATGGTAAGCTGTTACATTATGATCTCAAAAATTATGCTCTCAATACAATGAACTTAATTTCCATTATATGGCCCTAGAGAATTTCCTGAAAATTATGCTTTTGTCAAGGTGAATCACATAATAATATCTAGCATACTGAAGGCCAAATTTTCAAACAGTAGTAGAAACAAACGAACAATGTGAAAGTGTTGCAATAAGAATGATGTAGCAACTTCTTTTACTATATGAACAATGTTTTGAGAGATACAATTAATAAGTGAGGCAACAAATATAAATACCTTCCGAAGCCTCTGTTTCTTTTCTTGATTTAACGAATGAACTTTTCCTGCAAGCCTTTCAAGTGTGCTGTCGCTTATACTCATCGATGTGGTCCTTCCCAACTCAACGAAGCTGGGATGAACATCATAAAGTTCTTTCTTGAGATCAAGAGACATCATGTTGCAGATTTCATGGATACAATTGATCTGTACATCAATCTTTTGCAGCCTGAGATTCTGAAAATTTTAAAACAATCAATATAAACATAAGAGCTCAAGAATCTGGGAGGCAAAGTTTTAAAGATGGTGCACAACCTTTTCAGTTTGGAGCTCCTTAAGCTGGCTCTTAAACTCTTCTAGCCTCCTTAAGGATAGGTTTGTCTCATCCACCAAAGGAGGTACAGGATCCCCATTTTCAATTGTTCCTGAAATTTCTGCATGTAACCGAACTATCTGCGCCTGTACAACCATAAACTCCTCGACTCGCTCATCCCTCCTCCGTCTCAAATCTTCCAGAACAGGCTCTACTTTCGCAAGTTGTTCCAGTAATGTACCCCCAAGTTTCTCTACCTGCATATGTAAAAACATACAATAAGCGAATGATACATACAAAAAGGCATGGAATGGATAAAGCAATTCACACACCCTAGAAAAAGATTCTCGCTCTCCAAGAGCAGAAAGGATTTTCTCAATATCCAATTCACCAAAAGAAAGTTCTTCAATCAGGTCCTCCTTTTGCTTTCTTGTTTGCTCTACTTTCTTTCTGTAAACATTGAGGCAATCCTCCTCTAGCTGCAATATCATCCTGTCTCTTTCTGCTTCATTCTGGCCAATTTGTCCCCAGAGTACCTGGATCAACAGATAACAGTAGCAGATTCGTATAAAAAGGCATAAATGATATTAAAGAATTTACATCCAATGTGATGAGAACACATGGATACAAAAGAGGGAACCGAGATTATCATCAGGGGACGCCACAAAATCTAATAACGAGCACAATCGAATTCACGAAATAAGGAGCGATAACTTTGTTTCTAACAAGTACTCACGATATACAGAGCAAAGGATCACAAAACACAAAGATCGTCGTCCGATTCCGCCCACATGGCCACATACCAGTACCTTTGCCGCCAAAGAGCAAACAATCTTTCCTCACAAAAGCCAAAATAAAAAATAAATATATGATTCGAATCCCTCACCCACCATCAACCACGACTTCCCTAAAAAAAATCGCACCAAAAAGAACACGCCCTCGACCTGAATCCAAAACCGCGTCCCAGGAGGCCGTATGAACAGAGCAGGCGCGGGGATCGGACCTGAAGTTCCTGGAGAAGGGAGCCGCAGGATACCCGCGGCGGCGCCGTCGCCATTATCGAGGGGGAAGGGCGCGGGGCGATCTCGCGGGATGGATCGGATTTGGGGGACGGAGCGCGCGGTGCCCCCCGAGTACTAGGGTTTATAGAGAGGAGCGGCTAGAGAGAGATTTGAAAGGGGAAGAGCGGGAGAAAGGGGAATCGACGCGAGGGAGACGAGGGACTCGGGAGACGAGGGGTTACTAGGTGCGCCGTTCTCGGCTGCTTTGCTGGACCGTGATTGACAACGGTCGGCCCGTAGCCCGGCCTAGGGTTGGGGCCACAAAAAGAAAGAAATGGAATTTGAAAGAAGAAATGAAGAGAGGATGAAGGAATTGAAGGCTTGTTTTGAATTTTGATACTACTCCCTTCTATAATAAATTTAATGTTGACTTTTTCCATTTATCCCAAAGTAAATTCAATTTAAGTAATAATTGTATCGAAGTTTATGAAACCAGAAAATAGTAATTATGTTGAGATTAAATAAAGTGAGAAACAATTGCATTGGGATCTGATAAAATATGGGTATTGTAGTTTTTTTTTGTTTTGTATTGGTATGTACTCCCTCCATCCAAAAAAAACTCATTTATGGGTTTGGTGATGTACAGAATCAAATTTAGAAGTAGTTTTTTTTTTTGACAAAAGAAGTATGGCATAGGTGAAAAATATTATTATTTTAGGATGGAGAGACTAGTACTTTGAAATTTGAACCTTGATAAAAAAAATGGCGAAGTATGGGTGTTTAGGTTGTGGCCAAATTCTAGGAACGTTACTTGTCATTAAATTTTGGGCATGAACAATGTTGTGTTATATAAAAGAGAAGGATGTCATTTGTTTATATATAGGCGATATGTTTATAGAATTTGCAATGATTTGTGGAGGAAGGAAATAAAAGAGAAGGATGGCATTTGTTGACTGACTATAAAATGTTATAGACAATTGTCCATACCACTTTGTCAAGTGTACAGAATTAAATTACAAATTTTGTAAAATCCATTGAAAACTAGTAAATAGACAACATTCAGCAGTTGTATAATCGTTATCTAAATTATGACATGAAAAGTTTTTTTTAAAAAAAACTGTTGTTTAAACCGTTCTTCGTATCATCAGGCAATCAGACGATTAGCATCGTCTTCTTACCTGAAAAAAAATAAGGCAAATCTTGAGTAAAGAGTAGCCAGGTCGCATGAAAAAGTGCTGCTGGCAGAATCAGGACGACAAAGCATTTTTCAGCGACAATAGACCAGGAGAAGAATCGATGAAATGCAAACACATGCAGCGGGTATACCATACAACGGTAGCAGTAATGCCTTATATACATGCATGGGAACGAAAGGTATGGAATATACATGGGAGTGTTCACTTTGCAGTTTGCAGCAACAAATATACACTCCAGATGTCAAACTCATGTCTGCTCAACGGCATATTACGATCTAGACATCATTCCATAACAGTGGGGAAAACTTCACAAAAGGATAACAGCTACTTTACTTCACAAATTACTGACAGCTAGCTCTCAGAAGCTCAAGTCTTCCATATCCTCTCCATGGAGCTAGATTCACACCGAGTATGTCTGAAAGTAAATATGAGTTAAACTGTAAGTCAAGATTTGTTCACAATGAACCAAAAGAAGCAAATGCAGTATGAAAAATGTTCCTACTTTTACACAAAATGCTCATCATTCTCATAATCAAAACTACATATTTAGATCATATGCTTATTCAGAAATTATGTGGTCTGACTGCATGCATCCTGGGAGTCTCTCTTTGAACAGGACGTAGTACGGTATACCACATATGCCGAAGGACCAAACCAAATATACAAAACAGAGCTACACAATGCAAGTGCTTTAAAATGAAGTTCTTTCTCAAGATTTTTAAGGATTAGCCTGCATCAGAATAAATTTTTAAGGATTAGCCTGAATCAGGATTCAGGACATCATGCAAAGCCATTATTTCTTACTATCTATAAATCAAGCCAAAGATTAACCCATTAACATGCGCTAGAAGTTGACAAGCAGGCTTACCAATCAGCAAACTGATAGAAATTGCATTAATAATGAGTTCCATAAAAGCATGAGATGGATGAAGGACAATACCTGAGAAAAGGTTGACAGGACAACAGAGACTTTATTGTTCTCAGTGTTGTGCAGGTCGTTCCTTGATGCCACAGTGGGATCAGCAGTATCTGGAAAAACAACTGGTACGAGTTATCTTTCTCCCCAGTAGATTGAACCGGATGATATGAAATTCATATATCAGAAAACACACGATATGAAGGTTTGCCAAACAATACCAAGTTTCTAGCTTTTCAGAATTTTGTTTTTAGGGAAGCTTTTCAGGAGTTATTATCAGGCCAACATGACAAGTCATATCATTTAAATATTTTTTTCCTGCACTCGCTTTAATTCCTAGAAAATTATACATTAGATACGTAATTAATGGGGAAGTTGCTCAAAACTTAAAAGAATATACAACTGTCATCCTGTCCGCATAAGAAGTTCTTCAGTAATGTAGAGAACACTCAGCATTATTACCGAAACTATTCCAGAAACGTAATGAGATGAAACATACCTTGCCCAGCGTTATCATCAGCAGCAGTGGCCGACTGTGACTGGGAGTCCCCAACGTGACGGAACTCGACGACTGCCTTAAAATCTAGCCACGGCTTCACCCATACCTTTGCACTATACAGGCTTTTCTTTCCAGAATCAACTACCTCCAACATCAGGTCATGCAAGGTACCAGTCACAACTTGACGCTTGGCTTTCACTATCCGTGCAAATTCCAATTCAGCACCCTGAGAAACAAGATTAAAATTAGAAGAAATCAAGAACAAATACTTGATGAAGAATTCATCCTGCGTACAAGAGGAAACGTCACAATATTCCAGAAGATCTGCAGAGAGCATCTTAAAATTTGGACAATTGCATCCATGCCCCCACTTTCAACCTCAACTACTGACCGTTTTACACTTTTACCCCCATTTTTTAGGGTTTGCAATTTTACCCTCACTTTTTGAAAGCGAACCAGCCGTTTGCCCCCAGTTTTGACGTCAGTTAGGTGGGTCCCACGTTTTTGGGTTAAAGAAATACAAATGGCAATGAAAAATTTATTTACAAAATATTAATTTACCATTATACCCCTGAGTGAATGGATAGGGATCTTTCACCTCTCCTCCCCACCGAGTCAACCATTGGTCGTGGTGAACCGTGAACAACCCGAGACCTAGAGACGTCGGCGTGCGTGCGGCGACGAGCGTGGTGGCCAGACGCGGCGAGTCTCCGGCGGGTCGGCAGTCGCGGGGCTTCCCGTGGTGTCCACTCCCAGGCCCGGCGAGTGGCGGTCGAGTGAAGCAGCCGCCACCGCCGCTTCCGTCATCGATCGAAACCGCCGTTTTCTCATGATGCCGTCATCTCTGTTGCTTTGCTCGATCTGGCCGTCAACACGAAGCAATTACTGTTGGATCTTTGTCATCCTTCGATTTTTGCTTAGCACATGCAGATCGGAGAAATAATGGATGGTTTTTTTTTTTTTGCAACTGTATTGGATTTGGGGATTTTCTTAATTTCCTTGTATTCTCCTTCCTTCTCTTCTTGTTGCAAATCCGTTGATTTGGGGATCTCTTTCCTCGTGTTCTCCTTTCTTTTTCTTTTCTTGATTCACGAATGACTTTTTCATGGGAGGCTAGACAGTACAATTATTTTGGTTGGAGAGAAGGTGCAGTTATGCTCAGATTTGTTTCTTGCCATGAACAAGTTCATTCTCAGGCTACCTGACCGGGCAAGCACTCATGTCTCTCAGGCACACAAATTTATTAGGCATGTTGCTGAAGGCACCAACCAAACAGGCCCGAAATCCTATCAATAGATTTTCAAGGAAGAAGTTAACAGGAAGATATAAGGAAAAAATACAACCACCACCAAGGATATAAATGTCCTTTCGCCCTAGAACTAACACCGTCAAACCAGGCGTCAAAACTGAGGGCAACCGGCTTCCTCGTTTTCAAAAAGTGAGAGTAAAATTGCAAACCCTAAAAAGTGAGGGTAAAACAACAGTTGAGGTTAAAAGTGGGGGCATGGATACAATTGTCCCCTTAAAATTCAGTTTCCATGGAGGCAAGCCAAGGATCTAATAGCCTCATTGGATGATACAGCTCACTTAGGCTTGTTAATTATTGGTTATGCTCCTTTTTTGGTCTAGCCTCCCAGTTTAGTGCTTTCTAGATTTTTTTTACTACTAGCATGTTTCAGTTTTCTAGCAGGTTGGGGTTTGTCCAACCGCTTACTACGGTTTCGGCTCGATGCACCAAATGCAGAGGCTGTAAATGTTAGTATTACTCATCTTCCATATCTTAAAAAAGAAAAGGAACATTTGACCCAAAAAAAACCCAACTTATCTTAAAAAAGAAAAGTAACTCAGAACAACAGGGCACGATACTATAGTCGCAAATAAGGCACACGCATAATTGTGTGATCATCATTGATCAGTGCTAGCTGTTTACAGCTTGAAGCAAAAACATCAAATTGCCAAGGTTCTATACGATTCCAACAATTTCATTGCACAAATCGTATGTTCCTACTTAAGTCAACGGAACCAGGACTAGCTAGTGATTCTAACATTATCAGCAGTAGATTAATGTCTTAAATCTGCACCGCGCTGACCAGACCTAAGTGATAAAGTGAAGCGCTCTCGCGAGATAATGCAATCTACTCCGGTTCATGGACCTAATTTAACCTGTTTGTAAGGAGACTAGTAGACCTATATCTGCGTAAGCTGATGCGGTTCTCCGATTTATAAGAACTAAATAAAAGAAAATCCAACGGAATTGAACTCGAGGGGAAGGCGCAGAAAGCGGACCTGGTTCTTGTTGTACTCCGCGACGGCGAAGCGCGCCGCGTCCTCCGCCTCGGCCTGCTCGCGGCGGATCGCGGCGAGCATGCCCCGCACGAGGACGCTCTCGTCGCCCCCGAGGTGGAACCCGGCGGCGCGGGGGGCGGCCGCCGCCACGGCCAGTAGGAGCAAGGCGGCGGCGGCGGCGGCGGGTGCGCCGGAGCAGCAGCAGAAGCCGCGGCGGCGAAGCATCGTCGTCGTTGAGTCGTCCTAGTACTACTACTGCTCCGATCCCGAGCTTTCCTTTCCTCTCCGGTTGGTTGGTTCGCGTCGGCGTGTGGTGCTTGGCTACTTCGGGTTGGGGAAAGCGAGCCGCGGGTGGGGACAGGGTTGGCGTGGAGGGGACAAAGACGTGTCGCCTAATCTGGCCCGTCCGATCGTTGGATCGGGCGGTAGGTCAGTGAGGAGTTCGACCGGGACGCGGAGCGATTTGGCTGTGTCCGGCGCAGACACGCAGTAAAAAAAAGCGAGCAAGCCGAACAGCATGCCAAATTGCCAATATGGCACGATTCTTCGCCGTTTGTTCCGTTCCATGTAGTTGTATACTCAAGAACATCAGTGATTGTTCTCAAAGAAAAAAAGAACATCAGTGGTATAGATCATACGGAAAAGTCTGAAAAAAAATCACAATTCAGCCAAAAGAAAAAGGACAAAAACGTCTAAAAAAATCAGAATTCGGGGAAAATAATATGAGATTTAGAACCCTTTGAATCTTTGAATCGTAGGAATGTGAAAATGGATCAACATGAAAAATTAAGAAATCTAACATAAATGTAAATGTAAAATAAAGGATTACAAAACACAGAAATAGTTGTTTGATTGAATTGTGGGAAAAATATAGGAATCAGATAAGAGAAATAGACTCAAAGAAAATTTTCTAACATGTAGGAGCTCTTGCTATAGGATTTTGAAAGATTTAATCCTTTGTATCAAAAGGCTAAATAGGAAAAAAAATAATATTTGAATCCTATGAAATTTTTATACAAATCTTTTGATTCAAAAGGGCCCTCGATGGCATAGAGCATGGCGAATGAACTACCATGAATCATTGAGCTATGAATCCTTTCACATCACTACCGGTAGAACAGTGAACTTGCACTATTCGATTTAATAAAAGGTGATTTTGGAAGATGGAAGGTAGATTATTCTGATTTCAACACACAAAAATGAGATCACGATTGAGAAAACAAATAACGATCACATGCAGCTGGGTCATCTGATTTAACCCAAGGATTGTGGCAGGCCCCAAGGATATGTAGTAATATCACGTATGGTAACAAAACAGAGCATTAAAATATATCACAACAAATGTATCCAAATGATAATAAGGGTCCAGCTTCAGCTGACCTTTGACCTCACAACCAAGTTGATGCTTATACATGGAAGTTCTAATGGAAAGTTACATAAGTTCAGATAAACCGCCAAGCTAAACCATTTGGTTGCTCGACTCCGTGTTCAAAATAATGAAGCCGCAATACGTCTGTTCAAAGTGTAAAGTCAACCTGACAAGAGAAACATTTTGAAGCTAATTGGAGAATAAGGTAGGAGCTAGTTGATCTAAATATGATTAATCGTCTTACTCAACCTTCAAGACCTGCAACTTTGAGTCCCACTCACCATCATCCTCTTCCTCCTTGCCATCATCATCAAGGTCCCTCTCAGGGTCATTCTATATTAGTAACCCAAGCACATCCACCAAGTTCTTACCACTCTTCATAATATCCTTCACCTTATCAATCTCTTCATCAGAGATGTAATTCCTGTTGATATTTAGTTGCACAAAACATGACTTGTTAGCGATTGCATGGGCAAAACACCGAGCTCCCATCCTCCGCAACATATTCTTTGCTAACATCAAGCTCCTTCAGATCCTGGTGCCCATCTTCCAATGCTTTTGCAATTACCACAGCACCATCATCCTTCAGTCCATTTTCAGCCAATGTCAACTTTTTGAGTGATTGAAGTGTTGTTAGGCATTCTGCCAAAGCTTGGGCTTCTTTGGCGTTAATCTTATTTCTAGCCATTTCAAGAACCTCAATCTGAGGTGTCAATTGTTTGCGGGTATTGACAATTGCTAATGTGCCCTTATTCTCAAGATTGAGGTCACCGAGTAAGATCTAAAACTTAGAAAGGGTTTTTCTAAGAGCCACCCATGCCTCGGCCAGAGCAACTCCATCATCAGGTCCTACACATGTCGCCGAGCACCTAAAACACTCTAGATTAGGAGAACATTTACCATCTCCGCAACAAACATAGCACCTTCATCCCCCATCATGTTATTGTGGAAGTGGAGAACCTTAAGCTTCTCGGTAGAAGGAATAAGTTCATAAAAAGTTTTTGCAGCTTCCTCTGATATACTATTGTTCATCATATATAGTTCTTCTTCTTCCAGGGTGTCCTGTGATTTCAGGAGCTCTTCAAATGCTCTGACGCCCTTCTCACCATAGGCATTGTCAGAGATGTTCAAGTATCTCAATACATCACCTTCTAATACTTTTGAGGAGATGCGCATCACATCAAAGGCCATCCTGAGTCCTTCTAGCAACAAAATCAGATATGTCTACCTTTGTGAGCTGCTTTTGATTGATTCAAGGATAGGCCTAGCAACATTGGTAGCACCAATACCAAGCTCATGTTGCTGAAGCAAATCCATTTATTTGTACTAGTTTGGTAAGTGGGCTCAAAAGTTCCTTCGCTTCATCTGTCTCAATAAAAGCACACTTGCTACCAGATATATCAATTACAATATCAGTAGGTTCAAAAAGGTGTATCAACAACAGGTTCTCCAAAAATGACAGCGTTTCTAATGTTGTAACCTTCTTGGAGGCATCGTGTTAGAGGTTCTTTGTCGTGGCTATGTTTCCTCATGGTGTGGTGGTTGTGGTGGTGGTGTGGGCACGTGACATGGTGTGCTTTTCCTTTTTTTTTCTTGAGTATAGCCTCCCAAGGCTATAACCTTGTAACACTTTGCTTCTTTCAAAACCTTGTAACACCTTGTAACAATTCTTTTGCCTATCCCCCCCAAAAAAATACAACATCGAAAATTTTCTATATGAAGAAGTTGTCCGTAGACGCCTCTAGATGAATATCCTACATTAACCTTTGAGTTGGTTAAGGGCAAACAAATATCTTTCCCTTCTTGAAGGTGTTGTAATGGTTGTAGTCATTGTGTTGTAGTTTGGATTGTAAAAGGGTAAGTTGTTCCAAGACAACATGGTATCATTATGTTTTATTTTTCTCTCTTTTTCATATATTGAAGATATAGAGATTGGATGTAATTTCATTTATTAATGAGATATCAATTATCTAAAAAAATCTTTTCTCGAATCTAGAACAATTTTATGACTCTTACACAATTCTTGAAATGTTTCCAGGAGGTAGATAATGTATGTGCATCCATACAGGACATGGATCCTCTGTATTTATGATGGATGGTACTCTATGTCAAAGTGAAATTGAGTCTTGTGACACAATATTCTCATCCTGACGCAAACAACCAAGGGCTAGTTCGAATATGATGCATCATGTGGCTTCTATCTTGTCTTTTGTTAGCACGTTTCACAAATTGCTAAACGCTGTGTTTTGTGAAAATAATTATATAAAAGTTTCTCTCAAAATCAAATAAATCCATTTTTTAATTTTGTAATAGTTAATATTTAATTAATCATGTGCTAATGACATGTCCCATTTTACTTGTCGGTGATAATATTTAGCTTGCAACAAATTCAAATGGAGCCTAAATGACATTGTAGCGATTTACTATAGCATTTGATCTAGAACATCCGTCCTTGATCATATAGACAAAAGTTGATCATAACTAATGTGTTCTCCTATAACTTAGTAGCTAGATGCTATTGCAAAGAAACCCGATTAGTCCATACACGCAGTAAAAGAAGTAAGTTGAGATCTTCTCTAGTTGACGGTTAACTTTGTGACACCACAATTTGTCAAAAATATGGCATAGCATACAAAGTGTACACGATAATTTATTGGTCACATGAGGTGGTAAACTTTTGCTAAAGTAAGAGCATGAGAGGTGGGCCGGCATACTAACTAAGGGCATCTACATCCAAAGCCACCCCTATAGAGTGCCCTCACTAATTGAGGGCACTCTAGAGAACTCATCTCCCAATGGAGAATACTCTAGATGAGCTCTTCAAAATCTGAAGCAACTTAGTGGAGATACTCCAGCCCACAACGGGTGTCCTGGCCCAAATAGCCCCGGTTAAAAAATTCTGCCCTTACCCCTCGTTCTCACCGACGCCTCCCTCTTTCTCACCCCCTCTGCCCGCGTCTCTTCCTCTCCCTCTCCCTCTCTCACCACCTCCCTCCTATCCCTCCCCACTGTCGCCGCTGCTTTCTCCCGCCACCGACGCCCTCCCCTCTCATCGCCGCTCTCTCCCTGTCTCTCTCTTGCGCAGGCGGCGCCGCCACCTCCCTCCCCAGTCAGCCGCCGCTCGTCGCCATCCACCTCGTCGGCGCCGGATCCACTCTCCCATGCCCCCTCTCTCTCTCCCCCTCCGCACGGCCTCTCTCTCCCGTCACCGTTTTCTCCCTCTCTCCCCCGCTGCTCATCGCCGGGTGCGGTGGCGGACGGCGAGCGGTGTGTGGGGTGGCCGATGGCATGCAGGACGCGGGGCATGGTCGGCCTCTTCACCGTTGCTGTCGCCGACGAAGCCGTCGTCGTCTCTCTCCCAGATCTGGCTTGCCAGCAGCTGGATTTGGTGAGGGTCATCGCTCATCGCCATTCACCACACTGACGAGGCTGCGCCGCCTACTCCGGCTCCACCACACTGTGCTCGCCGTCGGCTCCGCCTCACCATGCTGATGTGAGAGGGGCAAGAAGGAAAACTAGAAAAGTATAGGGGGGAAGGTGGGGGACAGAGCACCGGGGCTGCCCAACGCATAGCCTCAAGCGGTGGCTCAAGAAAAAGGGAGTTGAGGAGCCAGAGGCGCTCCCTCCCCCCCCCCCCTTCTAGGGGTTGTGCCTCCCTCCAAGGGCACGGCTCACGGACGGAAGACGGACGGCGTCGATGAAGGTACGAGCCAGGGATACCCATTGCTCATGCTCTAAGATGTAGCTTGCCTTGTTGAAGTACTCAACCAAACAATTGCATAACAAAGTATGACATGTTTCACATTTTAGGGTGTTAATGTGTTGCAATGAACGAAAAAACCCCTAGCCCTCAAGGCCATGCATCCTTTTTTCTGATTTTTTTTTTGAAAAATGATAATATAAACTATTGTGTCACATGCCCTTCTATAAAATTACAAATTCAAAATAGGTATACACACATATAAACAAAATAAAAGAAAAACAGACTAAACAAATTGCAGTTGAAGTAGTGGTGACTTTTGAGATATTCAGCAAATAAGGACACATGCCTTAAAAATTACACTTACAAAACATTTCCTGTTCATCTAGTAGTTGTTTCATTCTGGTATAGGAGATACATGCCCGCATGATAATCACTTCTATATTGATATTGTGGAGAGGGAAAAAAAGTGTCTTTCCTTCCATGAATTGAACTTCTAAGATCCAACGCGAGAAGCAGCATATAAACAACACTAAAGAGCCCTAGTAGATCACTCGATCAAAATTCACTCACATATTTTACCACCGTTACAGAAATGAAAATCCTGCAGAAAAAGGCAGCAATCTTGCATGTCAGCAAACGATCGAAGGAATAAGATTCACCCCAAAAAAGAGAAGAAGATGTCTTCACGATGCTTACCTGAGGCAAGAACACCCAAGCAAAGCGCGACGATGGCACGCGGCGCCGCGGAGGCGGCATTTGGCCGTGCCGCGTCGGCGGAGGAGTCGCAGTTGGAGGTGGAGTTCCAGTCCCCGCAGAGGCAGAGGTCGCCGTGGCTGTCCCCGTCGTGGCCGCACACCCCGCCCGTGGCGCGGCACGCGCCGCAGAACCCGCGGTTCGCCTCCGGCAGCGCCCACGACACCCGGATGCCGTACGCCCACCCGGCCGGCCCGGCCGCCCGCACCGGCGCCAGGCTGTACGCGCTGCTGTACCCTTCGCACTCGAGGCGGCTCACGTTCACCGCCCGGATGGCGTCCCACGACACCGCGCAGCACTCGGGCGGCGCGGCGGCGCCGTACGCGGCGCCCGACGGCCGCCGCCCGCCGTAGTCGTCCCACGCGGGGCAGCCGTAGTACTCGCCGCAGCCCATCCCGGAGACGTTCCGGCACGGCAGGTGGCGGTCGGGGAAGCCCTGGAACAGCGGCGAGCTGGCGCGGCAGCCGAGGAGGAGGAACACGTTGTCCGGGTCCGGCGCCAGGTACGGCGCGCGCCACGGCTCGACGACGAACCCGTTGCCCCTGCCGCCCCGGGAGCGGTCGAGCGCTCGGCAGTCGGACATGGCCGGGTCGTGCAGGGTGAGGCCGCGGTAGGCGTAGTCGATGTCGAGGACGCGGTAGGAGCCCGACGGGAGGTGCAGCATCAGCGCGCCGTTGATGCAGTAGAGCAGTTCGCGGAACCCGGCGTGGCCGCACCCCGCCCGGAGCGCGAACGGGTAGTCCACCGTGATGTTGCCGCAGAAGGACCGGCACGTCGTGATCGGCACGTTGGCGGCGCCGACGCCGGCCGGCGGCCGCTCCACCGCGGCGAATGCGCACAGCGCGAGCAACGCAGCTAGGGAAGGACGTGCTAGCGGCGCCATTGCTATGGTGGTCACTCGAGACGGGATCGAGACGAGTGTGTGTAAGAGCATTACATGCTAGGTAAGGTCGTCGGCATATAGCATGAGCTCAAGTTACACGGAGATTGATACCTTGCTTCAGTTCGAGTGAGAGCTGGGAGGCATCATTTGCTTTTTCTTTTTTGGGCTTTAGCTTTAGCTTTGCTTTGATTTAATCTTCTTATTGTTAGCGTTCATGTTCAGGACTTGCTTTTCGGTGTCTTTACCATCTTGTAGTCAAATCAAGTGAACCATACCACATTCTTCTTACTAGTTGCCAACACTAAGGCTGTGTTCTTTCCTGGGTGATCTAGATGATTGTGAGTGAGTTTTGCTTCGTTTTCTGCGCGCACGTTTCCCGAACTACTAAACGGTGCGTTTTTTTTGCAAAAAAATTCTATAGGAAAGATGCTTTAAAAAAATCATATTAATCCATTTTTGAAGTTTAAAATACTTAATAGTCAATTAATCATGTGCTAATGGCTCATCTCGTTTTGCATATCTTCCCAATCTCCTCTATCTCCTCTCCTCAAACACAGCCTAATTTAGTGCACGTCAGTTACAATCTAGTAATTATTAATTTTGGTTTCATAATTAAATGACTAAAATACAAAATTGAGAGCCTATGTTAAGTACAACTTCATATTTATCTATTCCAAATTTTGGATTATTGAATTTTTAAAACTTAAACTAAAGAGTTCACAATATTTTCAATTGCATGTTTTTTTTAAAGTACAAACTCTAAATACGATCTATGGTCTCGACAATATAAACCACCTAACTGGCTACATTTTTTAAACATGGGAACTCCCTCGGTATCCAGCTAATATTCGTATATATAGGGCTATCAAAATAGCTTGAGACTCACGAATAGCTCGAGCTCAACTCGCCCTAGGCTTTATTTGAGCTTGGCTCAAGCTACAAATGAGCGTGAGACTAAGCCAAAGCTCAAGTTCCAAATCAGTCTAGTTGCTTGTCTGAAAAACTAGTAGAGAGACTACACATTAAGTATCCACACAAATAGGTAGTATGTATTGGCATCGTGTATTTGTCTTATTATTTTTCTCCTCTTCTATTAATATGATTATCAATATATTATCCTTAAAATATATGTTATTCTACTCATCAGCCGAGCTCAAGCTTGATTGAGCTCAAGCCAAACTTGCTTGGAAGCTCAAAGGGAAAACATGTTGGGCTTGAGCCTAGGCATCCAAGTTCACTCAAGCTCAGCTCATTGCCGGATATAGATAGATAGGGCTCGTTGATTAAGCTAGAAATCCCAACTCAACATGTATCAATTATCATATAAATGGATAACGGCCGAACACAATCCAACTAAATAGCGCTATGGACATCATGTACTTCTAGTAAATATTTACTATAGATTTGTAATCATGGCACATAGGTAACTCCACATGGTCATGGGCCATACAAGATTTTGGGCGGGGCTTGAGAAACCATAAGTTTCTTGGAGCCAAGCCTAAGCCTAGCCTAAGCTAAAACTTTAAATCCCAATGTACTAACCAGCTGCAGAGAGGAGGATAGAAGGCCAAGCATTGAGTGCACATAAGCCATGATATGGGTCCTCAAGCTCCAAACGGTGGGAACGAGCCATGGGGCTTTGGATTTTAGCTAACAAGGGAGGAGGCTGTGATTTGTCAACGACAAAATAGTGGAAAGCCAAGTAGGTTTAGTAGCAACACTTGGGAGGAAGGTCACTTGTGCTCACGGAGGTGATGAACAATGGGAGAAACGTTGGGAGGTGGGAGGGCTTCGTGGCAACTCCAAGTAGAAGTGGGTGTATTATTCTAATTTGTATGGTGTAGACATTTTTTTATGGCCAAGCTTTATGGGTTGCTATTTATAAAGCCGGGGACTAGTACAAAAATTGCTTGGGCGGCTTGTCGTCGCCACTTTGTACTCCCTATGTGTCGCTGACTCACCATCGACCTTGTCATTGGCATTGCTACCTGTATCAATATGCTTGTCAATTCCTCAGGTTCCACCTCCCTCTATCTTCTTATCGCCTTCAATTTTTTGCCTTCTCTATCTATGGCAGGAAGTCCCCCATACCACCCTCTTCCCATATTGGTCGGCATCACCTTATCCAATCACCTACATTGTGCTCACACATGCAACAACGTCACCTTCTTCTTCTTCTTCTTCTTCTTCTTCTTCTTCTTCTTCTTCTTCTTCTTCTTCTTCTTCTTCTTCCTCTCTCTCTCTCCGCATTTGCTCACTCTTGAAGCGGCGCTACAATCATCATGTTTCCGTCAAACTCTTTGGTGCCTACCAACCATCAACCTAATTGAACTTATTACTGTGAAATGATAAGACTGTGCAGCTGGAGACTAAAGACAAATATAAAATGCAAAAGCTAGAACCTTAAATCATCTGTACATTTTCTATACTTGAGTACTAGGCTCTATCGAACATACATGGAATGGAGGTAGCATTTTGCTTAGGGACTGTTATTTTTCACATGATTTTTTCATCCACTTAAGTTGTTATTTTTGGTCCATCGGATCAAGATCCGATGATCCACATCTAAACTCCTTTCCAATATACATATTAACCCTAACTCCTTCCCACTTCCCACCTAGCCGCCGCCACATCTCACTCGCACGATGCACTTCCGCACTCACGCACCTCCTCCCCCAACGCCGGCGAGCACTACAGTTGTTGTCGATATGCCAAAAATGGTTTTGACTCCACCGCATCCTCCTCCGTCTCCATGGAATCTTCTTTCTGGCTCCTTTCCCAACTAAGGCAAGATAGCCGCTATTCTTCCCCACCTCCAGTGGCTTCCACTGTCTTCACCGGCCACCGCCACCTAACCACTCACTCAAGAAGGCCCCGCCACCATTATCGTCCATTGCCATCCTCTGTCCCCGTGGCTCCTGTGATGCCACCATTGCCTTGTCACCCACGCATCCCCCATCTACCTAGGGCTAGGGAACCACCATCTCTCCCTCCTTCCACCCCTATCTCAACCCCCAACACTAACTTGTTGAAACTCGCTCAAGCTGGAGAAGGAAGTCGTGGAGCACGGACCGTGAAGCAGATACGAAGGTCACAAATCTGTAAGATTTCGTTCCGATTTTATCGAATGATATTTAGCATACCTGTTTTGCTTATGTTAAGTCATGGATGTTTAGTGAGCTCCTTCTTCTATGTAATGGTGTTCTATACGACATAAGACTCAAATTGTTGGATATTATGGAGGTATAGTAAGAATAGCACCATGTTGAATTTCTTTGCCATTTGCCTCTTGTTTTTTCACTTTAGCCGATATGAGTTTACCCTACCTTGGAATATCTAAAGGGTTGCTTAGATTGTAGTCAAAATAAACCTTACCAAATTTTAACAATTTAACAATTTTACCATGTTTTGGAATGATTTTTTATGTATTTATCAAAGTTTAGTAAAACAATTAAATAGATATATATCTTTGACAACTTTATCGAAAATTGGCTTTGTTGAACTTTGGGTATCTCAATGGATTCGGGGTGCGGGTGCGAGAGCCGGTCTCCTGCACAACCAGACCATACATCCTAGTCCACGGTTTGGCCCAACCAGGCCTACCTAAGTTTACGGTCTGGCGCTGGGCCTGGACCAGAAGCTTCCATTCCGCCCACTCCCAACCAAAAATTCTTTCCCATTTCCACCCACGCGGACGGGACGCAGGAGGCTCTTCCCACCCACACACCACACGCGAGCAGGCTGAGCCGGACCGAACCAGACGAACGAGACGAGACGCGCCCCACCCGATCGGTTGGTTGATCCCCCCCTCTCGTCCCTCGTCTCCCTCGCCTCGCTCGCCCTCGTCTCCCCCCCTCTTTCTACAGCCATCCGCGCCCCGCCCCCCCGCGTCAACCAAACCCTAACTCGCCCAAATCCGCCTCTCGATCTCGCCTCCGCCGTCCGCCGCCGCCGCCGCCGCCGCCGGCCGCCAAAACCCTACCGCCTCTCGTCGCCTCCGTCCGCCGCAGACGCGCCCGGTAAGCGTCCTCTTACCCCCTCCTCCTCCTCCTCCTCCTCCTCCTCTTCCTGATCCCTCTCTATCTCGGGGTTCCGATTCGGGCGACGCGCCTGGGGCCCCGGGAGTTGATCCGCGCGGGCGGAGGAATGGGGCTGCGGCGTGGGAACCGCCGCCGCCGCGGAATTTCGGGCCGCGCGCGCGGTGTTTTGGCGCCAGGGGGATCGCGCGATTCGGCGGTCTGGGGGGCCCCTGTGGCGTCGGAGTTGGAGGGTGTCCCGCGGGTGGCTTCGGCTCGGGGCACGCCGCATGCCTAGAAATTTTGTGAAATTTCATTTGGGTGGGTGGAGTGGCGTGCTTTGGATTCCAGGGGAACCTTTCCATTTCGCTATGTTTTTGGTGAAACTGTGGAGGCTATTGTTCTAGGGTGTTACATGGCAGGATAAAGTTTCTCTGTTTTGTTTGCTTTCTGATAATTGGTTTCAGATTGTAGGTGGTGAAGGAAACACAAAATCCATTTTAAATGCTATATTAAGTGCAATTGTGTGATCGAACTTATTATTTTGGTACTTAAGATTCTGGTTCAGATTTGAGAATCCTGAAGAAGGCAATGGAGGAAAATATGTTCCGAGCTAATCGTAAGAACAGGCGGTTGGATTATGTAATTGTGTTCTAGTAAATAAACAGATTTGTCGATACACATGGACCAAACAAGCAGTATTTAATGTAGCTAGTATACGATACTAGAGATATAGATGGACAGAGATTGATACTCAGATGGACATATTGCCAAAATGTAGTTGATTTAGTTTCAGTAAAACAAAGGAGGTTGCACTAATCGCATCGTTTGGCGAGCAACTTAGCATGCTTTTGCTATCAGCTCATCGTGCATCTTAATTACTGTTACATTGGCTGCCATATGGATTGTGGTGAATTGATGTATTTTATGTAAACATGGTCTTGAGTTAGCACGCCATCTGTTTTTCTGGACTGTTAAATATATAAATTTCTGTATGCTACATTCTTTGTTTAATCCTCGTTGTTTATTTATTTCTAATTGATGTCTTCAATGGTGTTTAGACGTACCCAACCATTGTTTGTAAACTATGAGGTTTTCATACTTGTAGCCACTGGGAATGAAATGGAATGTTGTGTTAGATATGCCCCCAAAAAAAAATCAACACCAAGGAATTAACAGGGCTCTAAATCTTTGTCTGTTCTTTATGGGCTATTGTTCTCCTTTTGCCTATTCTAAATTCA